CCCAACCTTCCTTCCAAGGAGTGGCTGGTGGGTTTGAACCACCAGCCTTCTGGTTAGCAGTCAAGTGCCTTAGGCACTGTGCTACCAGAGCTCCTTCTGTGTAGAAGCCTTTTTTTTTTTGACTTTTTATAATAGTGGTCTTATACAGTTTTTGTCCTTTTGTGATTGATTTGTTTAACTCAGCATATCCCCCAGGTTTAGCCACAGTGTATGAAGTGTTTCACTGGTTCAGTGTTATTATATATTTATTTTTTTAACATTGCATAGTATTCCACTGTGTGTATGTACCATGGTTTATTTATCCACTCCTCCATTGGTGGACATTTAGATTGTTTCTATCTTTTTGTTGTTGTGAATAATGCTGTGCTGAATGTGACTGTGCATATATCTATTTTTGTCACAGGTCTTATTTTTCTAGAATGTATTCCTAATAGTGGAATTGCTGGGTCATGTAATATCTCTATTTCCAACTTATTAAAGAAGTACCATACCATTTTCCATAGTGGTGTTTCTATTTTACTGTACCACCAGCAGTGTAGGAGGGTTCCAATCTCTCCACACCCTCACCAGCATTTCTTTTTTTAACTTTGCTATTAATACTAGGGGAGCCCTGGTAGCATAGTGCCTAAGACACTTGATTGCTAACCAGAAGGCTGGCAGTTGAAACCCACCCCAAGGAGGGGTTGCTATGAGTCCAATCTGACTTGACGGCAATGAGTTTGGTTTTTAATGGCTATTGACTATGAGCATTTCTTCATTTGTTTGTTGGCTGCCCAGTGTCTTCTTTGGTGGAGTGTCTGTTCATGTCGTCTGCCCATTTTTAGTTAATCTGCTTGTCATTTTGCTACTGAGGTGTTGATGTTTTCTCTGTATAAATTTTAGATTAGTCTCTTGACCAATATTTCATTGCTAAATTTTTTTTCCAAGTCTGTAGCTTTTCTTTTCACTCTTTTTGTAGAAGTCCGTTAATATGTATAAGTGTTTAATTTTTAGGCGGTCCCAATCATCTAGTTAGGAGCTCTGGTGGCATAGTGCCTAAGGCATTTGACTGCTAACTAGGCAGCTGGCGCTTCAAACCCACCAGCCATTCCTTGGAAGGAAGGTTGGTCAATCTACTTCCATAGTGATACTACCTCATAACCCAAGGACAGGTCAAAATGAGTTACATCCAACTCGACAGCAGTGAGAAAAATCATCTAGTTTATCTTCTGCTGTTTGTGCATTTTTATTTATGTTTGATAGTGTATTTATGCTGTAAACTAGAGCTCCTAAGGTTGTCCCTATTTTCCCTTTGATGCTCTTTATAATTTTAAGTTTTTGACCCATATTCATATTGAATTAGTTTTTATATATGGTATGAATTATGGATCTTGTATTATTTTCCTGCAAATGGATATCTAGTTTCACTGGTGCCATATGTTAAAGATACTGTCTCTTCCCCATTTAATGGTTTTGGTGCTTTGACAAAGATCAGCTGTCCATAGGTGAATGGATTCACTTCTGGGTTTTCAATTCTGTTCTATTGGTCTATGTGTCTGTCATTGTGCCAATACCATGCTGTTTGACTACTGTGGCTATATAGTAGGTTTTGAGATTGAATGTGAGGCCTCTTACTCTGTTCTTTAGTACATTGCTTATCAGGGTCTCTTTCCTTTCGTAAACAGCTGGAATGCTCCTTTAAAGCAAGGATGGTAAGACTTCATCTCGCGTACTTTGGTTGTTATCAGGAGAGACCAGTCCCTAGAGAAGGACATCATGCTTGGTAAAGTAAAGGGTCTATGAAAAAGAGGAAGATCCTCAGTAAGATAGATTAACACAGTGGCTGCAACAAAGGGGTCAAGCACAACAATGATTGTGAGGATGGCACAGGACTTGGCAGTGTTTCTTTCTGATGAAAGAAACTAGGACCACTTGATGTTACCTAATATCAACAACAACATCCAGGAGTGGGATTGTTGGCTCATAAGTACATCAACTCCCAAGCTGTTTCACAAAGAGGCTGTGTCATTTTGAGTTCCCACTTGTAATGTATTAAAGTTTTGGCTGCTCTACATCTTTGCTCCTATTTTGTATTGTCAATTTCATTTTTCTTATTTTTGTCAGTAAGCGTATAATAGTATTAATTTGTGTTTCCCTAATGAATAATGATATTAAACATATTTTTCCTGTGCTGATGTGTCTTTATAAAAATTTTGCTTATTTATTTATTTTTTTAAAATTATATTTTTGTTTTCTTATTACTGAATACTGAGAGTTCTTTGTTTTTTTTCTGGGTATAATCATTTATCAGATAAATGATTTGTAATTACTTTACTCCCATTCATGTATTTATTTTTCATTTTCTTTATTATCTTTTGAAGAGTGTTGTTGTTGTTAGGAGTTGTTGGGTCATTTTCTACTCATAGTGACCCTATGCACAGCAGAACAAAACACTGCCCGATCCTGTGCCAGCTCCATGATCCTTGCTATACTTGAGCCCATTGTTGCAGTTACCTCTCATTGAAGGCCTTACCCTCTTTCGTTGACCTCCACCTTACCAACCATGACATCTTTCTCCAGGAAATGGTCCCTTCTGACAACATGACCAAGGTAGATGAGACAAAGTCTGGCCATTCTTGCTTCCAAGGAGCATTTCAGCTGCACTTCCTCCAGGACAGATCTGCTGGTTCTTTTAGCAGTCCATGGTTCTTTCAGTATTCATCACCAACACCACAACTCAAAAGCATCACCTCTTCTTCGGTCTTCTTTATTCGTTGTCCAGCTCTCACATGCATATAAGGCGATTGAAAATACCATGGTTTGTATCAGGCACACCTTAGTCCTCAAGGAAGACATCTTTGCTCCTCAGCACTTGAAAGAGGTCCTTTGCAGCCAACTTTCCCAGTGCCATACATTGTCTAATGTCCTGACTGCTGCTTCCATTGGCATCAAATGTAGAACCAAGAAATAGGAAGTTTTTGACAACCTCAATCTTTTCTCCATTTATTGTGATGTTGCTTATAGGTTTAGTTGTGAGGATTATTGTTTTCTTTATATTGAGATGTAATCCCTACTGCAAACTGTATTCTTCAGTCTTCATCAGTAAGTGCCTCAAGTCATCCTCACTTTCAGCAAGCAAAGTTGTGTCATCAGTGTATTGCAGGTTGTTAACGATTCTTCCTCCAATCTTAATGCCACATTTTTCTTCATATAATCCAGCTTCTCGGATTATTTGCTCAGCATATAGATTGAATAAGTGTAGGGAAAGGATACAACCCTGACACACTCCCTTCTTGATTTTAAACCATGCAGTGTTCCGTTGTTCTGTTCTAATGACAGGTTCCTCATGAGTACAATTAAATGTTTTAGAATTCCCATTCTTCTCAATGTTATCCTCATTTTTTTTATGATCCACTCAAATGCCTTTGCATAGTTAATAAAACATAAGTAAACATCTTTCTGGTATTCTTTGCCTTGAGCAAAGATCTATCTGACAGCAGCTATAATATCTCTTGTTCCACATAGTCTTCTGAATCCAGCTCGCACCTCTGGAAGTTCTCTGTCAGTATACTGCTGCAACCATTTTTGAATTATCTTCAGTAAGATCTTACTTGCTTGCCATATTAATGATATTTTTTGATAATTTCCACATTCTGTGGGATCACCTTTCTTTGAAATGGGTACAAATATGGATCTCTTCAGTCAGTTGGCCAGGTAACTGTCTTCCAAATCTCTTGGTATAACTGAGTGAGTTCCTCCAGTGGGGCATCCATTTGTTCAGATATCTCAATGGGTATTCCATCAATTCCTGGAGCCTTGTTCTTCACCAGTTCTTTCATTGCATCTTCGACTTCCTCCTTCAGTACCATTGATTCTTGATCATATGCCACCTCCTGAAATGGATGAAGATCTACCAGTTCTTTTTGGTACAGTGACTCTGAATCTTGAAACATCCTTTATGATGATGAATGCATGC